TATGTCCAGTTTATTCCTTTGTTTTGTTTTGGTTGCAGTCACTGCAGACAGTCTATACCGTATTTATCGACGTATAGTATGCACTTTTAAAGCTTAAATTTGTTCTGGTCACTGATATAAAGCAGCTGTAGCACCAGCTGCTTGTTAAAGATCAGCAGCCTGGCCGCGGCCACTTTAAATCAGTGACCAGCGGGTGCTGCTGCGGGCCAACACTCCCCTGCCCATCATCCCCTGCCCATCGTCCCCTGCTCACCATCCCCTGCTGGCTCCTCTGAACAGCATCAGGGACGTCACTCATCATTCACTAAAGCTGCGCACAGAAGCCCTGCCCCCACACTGATCAGCTGGGCCGGGGCATGTCAGCAGACGCAGGAGTCCCGTCCCTGCGCTTATTATTGGGACTCGCAGGAGTCGCAAAAGTCGCAGGACCTGCCGCCGCCGCTGCACAGAAGATGCAGTAGTAGGGCGGCCCGGTACCATTTGTTCTGTGGACTGGTACCGGGCTGCGGGCCGGGAGTTGGGGACCACTGCTTTATGTAATCCCTCCTTTGCCTCACCTCACATGCTCACAATGAGCCTCTTCCTTGATTTTTTTCAGTGCTTGCACTCTTGGCTCTCCCATCTCTCCACTACTTCACTATGTGCCCTTGCATTGTCCCTCTCCCTTACTTCTTGCACTCCACTGCTCATACCACTCTCTCCCTTCCTTTCCTCTGATCCCTCCTTTGCTTCACCTCATGCCCTGGCAATGCACCCCCTTGTTTCTTTCACTCCACTGCTCCTACCTCTTCCTCTCTCTCTTCCCTCACTCCTGAAAGAAAGGGGTGGACTTGTTTCTTGCAAAACAATATGGGGAAAAAAAACATGCCTCCACATTTTGCTCCATATCTTGGCTCTATACAAAGGCTAGAGACTAGGATTGCAATATTCCACTCCCTCATATCTGGGCTTCTAATTTGCATATGATGCAAATTATTATAATTATGCATATTCTTAATTTGCATTCTGTTCATGCACATTCAACACATTAATAATTGCACTTTTTCTACCATTATGTTTCAACCTTAGTACCAGTAACAAGCTAAGAGATCTTTTTTTTATCTTTTTGCTCCTAGCTTGTGTGAAGAGAGGGAGGCTTCTAAGCAGCACTAGACGTTCCACTGTGCTGCCTAGCCCTAGGCTCAAGCCGCAGACACAATCACCACACAACGCAAGGGGCTCTGCTTGCCTCCTGTCCTTTCCTGCCTTTTAGGACTGTTGGAAGAAGGGAGGAAGGAATGGAAGAATAAGGTGGCAATGCTAGTCCCACCAGCACCAGTCTTCTTGCACAGTTTCCTCCTTCATCACCACTGCCACATTTTAACCTACCCCTTGTGATGAAGAAGGAATACAGAATTTATTCCTTTAACTGTCCCAGCTGGCCGGGACATTTTTTAGTTCCTTCAATCTTCCAGTTTTTCCAGGACAAATGGCAACCCTACTAGAGACTCTAATTGGTTTTTTTTAAAATGAAAATTTGGAATCCAAGCCAGCTTCTGGTCCAAATGGGTACTGGGTGGACTGCCTAGAACCAGGAGGTATGGCAACCCTAATCCCCCACCCCTGGGTTAAATCTGAAATCACACCAGGTTCATAAGGCACTACAATCACATTAGTCTAGGAAATGCAAACGTACCAGGCTGGGCACACTCATCATCACACAGCTCTTCCAAATTACCATGCTGCTGTTTTTGTCCTGGCATCTGCCTTCCTTGCGCTGGCCTCTATAGCCCTGTTTCCCTACCCTAACTTTTTCCAAACATGCCTTTTGGTCTGTATTTATTTTTATTTTTAGCACAACTGTTCATTAAATATAAATAAATAAACAAAATAAATCAGGGTTAAAACAGCTTGCTTGGGAATATGGAGGGGAAAGATGAAGAGTGAGAGAGTAGCAGAATCATGCTCAGTCGCACTACATGACAGCTTGAATGTCAGAATGGCTTGGAGAGAAGCTTATCACACTTAAATCAAAAGCAGCATGATTGGCAGGTATTGACAGGGTTTGCTTGTCAATGAGAAGGAGTGCTCCAGCAATGGATGGACTACAGACCAGCTACTGGACAGACACAACGTCATGTGATAAGGTTCAGCCACAGATGCTACTATCCTGCTCTAATTATACTTTTCAAGCCTTATGTGATAAAGTCATAATCTCCAGATGCCTAATTTACATATTTTAAAAACAAACAAGATTTTACCACACAGAGAACCAAGATATAAAGCAAAATGTGTAGGCACTATTCTGAAAAGACTAACAAGGAAATCTGGTACTAATTATGTACTACTTGTATAGCTTTTAGTAAACAATGCAAATATTTACTGTTCTTATAAATTGCATACATTTACTACTAATTGAGTCAAGTCATTATGTATTGAATATAACAATACACTTTTTACAGTTTTATATAGTTGAACAATAATGGCATTTAAACAATGTATTTTGTTATTCCATCTGGAAAATAATTATGCAATTATAATAATAATACATAACTGTAAAAAGTTTATTGTTATATTTGATACTAATGAGTTAACTCAATTAATAGTAAATATATGCAATTTATAATAGCTGTAACTATTTGCATTGTTTACTAAAAGTTACATGAGTAGTTTATAATTTGTACCAGACTTTCCTTGTTAGTCTTTTGAGCTACTTGGTTTTGAGACTTTCTGTGTGTAAGGGTACATCACCCTAAATTTTCTCCAGCCACTAATCTGCTTGTTTTGTAAGATGCTAGCCTGTTCCTGCCTTACAGTAGCTAGTGAATGAAATCAAAGACAGTGATAGGCACACCCCTTGTCTAGAGAAGCTGTTTTTGGGTTCATTTTTAATCAGTTTTTTCTAGTCTTCTCTAATAAAATGATTCCTGCCACAGAGGCAATGGGAAAAGAAACCTAGGATTTTGTGGCTATGCTTGGGCAGTAGTATGCCCAAATTAACAGAAACTGTAGCAGCAAAAACAGCAATTGATTATATATTTTTAAACTCAGATCATATTCCTTATACCACCAAAGATTTTCCTAAGTTTCTGAGCATTAAAGAAATTACCCTTCCGGTGGCACTGCCAATATAGACTAAGCCCTCCACTATTACTGCACATTGTAATAGGACAGGACTTTGATGGTACTGTGGAGT